CTGTAGCCTCAGGCTGACCTTTCAGGTGGAGCCTGTTGCAGTTTTGAAGAACAGCAGGGGGTGATATCCCAGAGAGTCTTTGCCGAGACTTATCCCTTAAACAACTTCACAAACAGATTATCACATCATCGACGTCTTGTTATTTGCTGAAAAGTCCTTGATTGGCTGGAAAATGCTGTGGCGCATCCTGAGCTGGTGAAAGGTGCTATTTAAATGCAACTCCTCTGTTTGTTTGTCTCAGAGTCGACCCCAGGGTTGGTGTGATCGGAGAATGGAGATGAACTGTTGTCTCAGTTCCCCTGGGAAACTCTCTCACTCCACATCCTGGTGACTCCTGGCTGTGTCCAGGATCTGGGATGTATTCGGCTTTAGTTCCAGTTAGTTTTTCCCCGGGATAGTCTGGCTGAGGGAGGGAAGCCTGGATTCTGCTGTATTTTCTGCACCTTCCCATGAGGTTCCGGGGGCTGGGACCTGCTCAGAGGGGCCCATGGTCGTTAGCAGTGATGAGCAGGGCAGTGAGGGAGAGCAGCAGGCTGTGGAAGCTTGGTTCTTGGGGTGAGTGTGAGACACAGGCTCCTGTTCCCTTCCTGCACTGGTGTTTCTCACACAGCAGTCCTGTGTATGGAGGCTGACACAAGCACCGGCCATTGTCCTCACACACTCCCCCATTCTCACACCGGCTCAGCACGTTATCACAAACACTGGCTGCAAGGAAACACAGAGGTCAGCTCAATGACAATTTCCCCAAGTCACAGCCTGTTTCATTGTCCCCCAATACCCAGCTCCAACTTTCAGAACATTCCCATCGACAAATATCTACACTGTGAGAATCGAACAAAGGGCAGTCACAGATTGTACAGGAAAGGCCAACCAGGAAACAAAGAAATAAAGGAATCAGGAGGAACAGGAAGGGAAATCATAGAGTGAAATGATCCCAGAATAGAAACTGAAACTAGTAAATAATCCACAATGAGAACCAGTCAGGAGGCAGATGGAGTGACTGAGGGATCCACACTGTAAACTATATCAATTATCCATCCCTGGGAAAAAGACTATATGCATTCATCCTATCTGTGCCCTTCATGATTTTGTACACCTCAATAAGATCATCCCTCTTTCTCCAACGTTCCAAGGAATAAACTCCTATCCTGCCCAATCTCTCCCTATAACTCAAGCCTACTAGTCCTGGCAACATTCTCATCAATCTTCTTTACACACTTTCCAGTTTAACTACATCTTTCCTATAACAGGGTGACCAAAACTGTACATAATACTCCAAGTGCGGCCTTACCAATGACTTATACAATGTAACATAACGTCCCAACTTCTATACTCAATGCCTCGACTGATGAAGGCCAGCATGCAAAATACCTTCTTCAACGCCCTGTCCACCTGTGACGCTGCTTTCAACAAGCTATGTACTTGTACTCCTAGGTCCCTCTGTTCCACAACACTCCTCAGGGCCTTACCATTTACTGTATAAGTCCTACCTTGGTTTGACTTTCAAAAGTGCAACACCTCACACTTATCTGTATTGAATTGCATTTGTCAATCCTCAGCTCACTTCCCCATTTGATCAAGACACCTCTGTAATTTTTGATAACATTCCTTGCTGTCAAAGATACCTCCTAATTTTGTGTCATCTGCAAACTTACTGATCATGCCTTGTATGCCTAGTCTGAGAATCAACCTTCAACCATTACCCCCAGCTTCCTACCATCAAGCCAATTTTGAATCCAATTCGCTAGGTCTCCCTAGATCCCATGCGACCCAACCTTCATGACTCGCCTGCTGTGCAGGACCTTGTCAAAAGCCTTATTAAAGTCCATATAGACAATATCCACTGCCCTACCCTCATCCATCCTCTTGGTTAACTCTTCAAAAAACTCAAAATGGAGACTATTCGTGACTAACAATCAGGTGGTGTGTAATGGCAGGCTATGTGATAACAAGTTCTGGTGTGTGGGGTCAGGGCTAGGACATGGGTGAGTTTATGCCCTAAAATAATTGAATTCGATATTGAGTCTGGAGGGCTGTAGGATCCCCAAACGGAAAATGAGGTGCTGTTCTTCCAGCTTGTGTTGAGCTTCGCTGGAACACTGCAGCAAGCCAGAGACAGAGATGTTGGCCAGGCAGCAGGTTGGTCTGTTAAAGTGGCAGGCAACTTGGAAACTCAGGGTCTTTTTTGTAGATGTTACAGAATTTTTTTTTATAGAATCCCTACGGTGTGGAAACAGGCCCTTCGGCCCAACTAGTCCACACCGACACTCAGAGCATCCCACCTAGACCCATCCCCTAATCTAAACATCCCTCAACACTATGGGCAATTTAGCATGGCCAATCCACCTAGCATGCACATCTTTGGACTGTGCGTGGAAACCGGAGCATCCGGAGGAAACCCACGCAGACACAAGGAGAATGTGCAAACTCCACACAGACCGTTGCCTGAGGTTGGAATCGAACCCAGATCCCTGGTGCTGTGAGGCAGCAGTGCTAACCACTGTGCCACCGTGCCGCCCTCTGCCACATTCTGCGAAGCGGTCACCCAGTCTATGCTTCGTTTCCCCAATGTAGAGGAGACCACATTGTGAACAGTGAATGCAGTAGACTAGATTGTGGGAAGTGAAGGTGAAGTGTTGCTTCACCTGGAAGGTATGTTTGGGCCCTTGGATACTGGGGAGGGAGGAGGTAAATCATAGAATCCCTACAGTGTGGAAACAGGCCCTTCGGCCCAACAAGTCCACACCGACTCTCAGAGCATCCCACCTAAATGGACAGGGGTTACATGCTCAGTGGTTGCAGGGAAAGGTGCCGTGGTGCTGTAGGGGTGATGTTGGGAATGAGGGAAGAGTGGACCAGAGTGTCCTGGAGGGAGCAGTCTCTGTGGAAGGCGGACAAGGGAGGGGAGGGGAATATGTGTCTGGTGGTGGCATCTCACTGGAGGTGGTGAAAATGGCATCTGATGATCTTCTGGATGTGGATGCTGGTGGGATGGTAGGTAAGGACAAGGGGAATCTTATCGCTGTTGCAGAGAAGAGAAGGGATGAGGAGTTTGTGGAGTTTGCACATTCTCCTTGTGTCTGCGTGGGTTTCCTCCGGATGCTCCGGTTTCCACGCACAGTCCAAAGATGTGCATGCTAGGTGGATTGGCCATGCTAAATTGCCCATAGTGTTGAGGGATGTTTAGATTAGGGGATGGGTCTAGGTGGGATGAGAATTCAGGAGATGGGTCAGACCCGGTTGAGGGCCCTGTTGATAATGGCGCTGGGGAATCCTCGGTTGAGGAAGAAGATGGACATTTCAGAGGCTCCCTTGTTGATGTTGGCCTCATCAGAACACATGTGATGAAGACAGAGGAAGAGAATGGAATGGAGTCTTTACAAGAAGCAGGTTGGGTGGATGTATAGTCAAAGCAGCTGTGGGAGTCAGTGGGTTTGTAGTGGATATTAGTGGCCAGTCTATCTCCAGAAATGGAAACAGAGATGTTGAGGAAGGGAAGGGAGGAGTCAGAGATAGACCCGGTGAAAGTGAGGGCCGGGTGGAAATTGGGAGCGATATTCACAAACTTTTCCAGTTCTGGACGAGAGAGGGAAGCAGCACTGATGATATCATCGATGTATCGGAGAAAGAATTGTTAGTGGGGGTCAGAAAAGGACTGGAATAAGGAATGTTCCATGTATCCCACGAAGGGTAACTAGGGCCCATGGGGGTAACCATGGCCAACCCTCTGACCTGAAATAAATGAGAGAAGGTAAAAGAGAAGTTGTTGAGGGTGAGGCCGAACTCAGTCAGAAGAAGGAGGTGGTGGGTGGGGACGCTTCAGGTCTTTGCTCCAGGAAGAAGCGGAGAGCCCTGAGACCATCCTGGTGGGAAAGGACATATAAAGGGATCGCACGTCCATGGTAAAGAGGAGGCGGCTGGAGCCTGCTTAACTGAAAATTCCGGAACTGGCGTAAAGCGTCAGAAGAATCACGGATGTACGTGGCAGGGATTGGACCAGGCGAGAGAAGACTGAGTCAAGGTAGGAAGAGATGAGTTCTGTGGGGCAGGAGCAGGCGGAAACAATGGGTCTTCCTGGACAGTCCCGTTTGTGAATTTTCAGAAGGACGTGGAAGCGAGCTGTGTTGGGCTGGGGGACTATCAGCTCGGAGGTAGCTGGGGGGAGGTCACCGGATGAAATGAGATCAGTTACTGTTGTTGTTACAATGGCCTGATGTTTCAAACAAGAAACTTGTGTGAGAGGAACGTGGTTAAACTCTTGGAAGTGGAAAAGCGAGGGTCAATAAGGGAGGTCTAGTTGATGTTGCGTATTTGGAGTTTTCAATGTCCTTCGATAAGGTACGACAGAGTGAGCTCATGGGGAAGGTGAGACCATGAGGAGGAGGGACAAGGGGCAGAGTGAATAGGAAGCTGCCTCAAGGACAGAGTTGGCAAGGTGACCACCAATACCAGCTCAGAGAAAGCACTGACCATGGGGCAATGGGACAAAGTGGATGATGAAATGTTGACAGAGAGACTGAGCATGGAATTCTGTGCACAGTTCTGAGCATGGTACTTTAGGAAGGATGTGAGGGCATTGGACGGTTCTTTCACTAAAAACCTCTCTGTGTTTGCCCCCAATTACTCTGCTCTCGGATCCTCTGCTGTCTCTGAGACCCAAAAGGCAGGATGGAGTGAGGACAGGAGCTGGGTAGGATTGGTACTGACCTCGACAGCCCCTGTGCCAGTAATATCCAGGCAGACACTTGTCACACTTGGGCCCTGTTGCTCCAGACTTGCAGACACAATATCCCGTGTCATTACAGTGTCGGTGCAGAGCGCCATCAGGGTTACACTGACAGTCTGTAGGAACAAGACAACACACACACACTGTACACTGCATACTGTATGCTGTACACTGTATACTGTATGCTGTACACTGTATACTGTACGCTGTATATTGCACACTGCACACTGCACACTGTATATTGCACACTGCACACTGTACACTGTACGCTGTATATTGTACACTGCATACTGTATACTGTACACTGCATACTGTATACTGCACACTGCATACTGTATATTGCACACTGCATACTGTATATTGCACACTGCACACTGTACACTGTACACTGTATATTGCACACTGCACACTGCATACTGTATACTGTACACTGTATACTGTATATTGCACACTGTACACTGTACACTGTACATTGCACACTGCACACTGTACATAGAGATTACTGAATCAACACATCAACACTAACTCAGCAACACACCTGACTGAGAGTCAGGACAAGGAACAGTGAGACTCTGTGACTAACACAAGTCTCCAAAACTCTATAAACAGTTTCAATGCTGCCCCCACTGATTGCACACAGCCTGGGTCCCAGTGTCCCCAGAATCTGCACAGATTCCCAACGCCAGGAAAAGCAAACATTAGCTTTACTGTCCCAGGATCAAATTCACCAGCAGGGAGGAGAGATCTAACTGGTATCAAACCATAGGTCACACTTGGGAAACAGTGAACATTTCTGTCCCTATGTTATAGACAGCGGAGATGCAGTGGAGAATGGGGTTGGTTGGAGGGGTGGGGGGGGGTGTGGGTGCGGTGGGAAGGGGGTTTGTGGGAATACAATTGACAAAGGCACCCCAGAACAGACAGGGTTTGACTCTCAGGAAAGGCTAGACAGGCAGGAGGCTGTTTGCTCCTGACAAGAGGTGGCAGAGAATCTGATGTGAGGGAGCTCTGTAAAATGATGACGGGGTTTACTGGGCAGACAGAGAGAAGGTGACACCCCTCCCCAACCCTCCCACTGTGTGGGGGAGACCAGAACTCTGGGCTATCAATATCAGACAGTCTCTAATAAATCCCAGCAGGAATTCAGGAGAAAACCTCTTCCCCAGGGACTGGGCAGAATGTGGGAATCACTCCCACATGGGAGGGGAGGGAATGTGGGACTGACCCCCACAGGTAGAGGGTGAGGGGAATATTGTGGACACACTGAGGGACTCCGGGGAAAGCCTGATTTGTGGGGGGAGGGGTTTTTGGGGGGAAGCAGCTGGGTGAAGTGGGCGGGGTTGGGGGGGTGGGAGAGTGCGGCTCGGAGCAGGCACTGACCTAAGCAGACGTTGTGATGGTGGAGCTGAGCTGTAGGGTTTCGATGGTAGCCCAAACGGCACAAGTGGCAGTGTCGGCCCCGGGTGTGGTGTCTACAGTTCACACAAACAGGAGCACGGAACAACTCGAGGAAACTGCACCGGGTCGAGTGTCCGAAACATTGACAGTCTTGTAAGGAAAAGACAGAGACGGGTAGATGGAACAGCGACAGCATGGCCCGGGGGGTGGGGAGGGGGATTGACCAACATGCTGCACCACTCAGAGAGAGGGAGAGGGTATGGAGCGAGAGGGGAAGGAGGAAGGGAGCAAGAGGGTAGGGATGGAGAGAGGGAGAGGGGAACGAAGGAGAGGGAGGGAGAAGGAGGGAGGGACAGAAGGAGAGAGGGGAGGGAGGGAGGCAGACAGGGAGAGAGAGAGGAATGAGGGAGAGAGGGAGGGATTATGAGAGAAAGAGGGAGGAATGAACAAGGGAGACGGGGAGTGAGGGAGAGACAGGAGAGTGTGAGGGTGTGAGAGATGGAGAAGAGTGTGACTAAGTGATGGGTGGGGTGTGTGTGATGCTGAGGGGTGGCGATGACAGATGGCCATCAGGACCCTGACCCATTCCTTTTCACATTCATTCAGAAGATGGTAACAGATGGTCCCAATCCTAGTTTAGGGTTCGAGGTTGAGGGCTTAGGGCCCAAATTAACGATGTCCCACATCCCCAAAGGTCCAGAACCAGAAACACAAATTCTGAAATTCTGAGGAGTTACGGTCACTCTGGGGAGAAGTAAGGTCATTCTTGGTCAGTGTGGAGAGTTACAGTCATAAAGTCATACAGATAAACAGCATGGAAACAGACCCTTTGGTCCAACTCGTCCATGCTGACCAGGTATCCTAAATTAATCTAGTCCCATTTGCCCGGCATTTGGCCCTTAACTCTCTAAATCTTTCCTATCCATGTCCCCATCCAGATGCCTTTTAAATGTTGTAATTGTACCAGCCTCCACCATTTCCTCTGGCAGCTCGTTCCATACACGCACCACCCTCTGTGTGAAAAAGTTGCCCCTCAGATCCCTTGTAAATCTTTCCCCTCTCACCTTGACCCTATGCCCCCCTAGTTTTGGACTCCCCTCCCCTTGGGGAAAAGTCCTTGGTTGTTTACCCTATGGTCACTCTCAGTCAGTTACAGTCATTCTTG